AGTAGTAAGCCATCATTTCAAAAAACGAGCGTTTTGGTATCTGTTGGAGGTCGAAGTAGCGCTGGAGGAGGGTTAAAAGTGTCGTTCTGTGTCCGAATAGAAAATACGGTGGATTTTTTGAAAATTGATCATTTTTCACCACTTTTACTGTCCTGTGCAGCATCTCCTCTGAATATCCCAACGCTTCTATGGCAATTTTCACGGTTTCTTCTGGATTATAAGGGCGCACCATGAGAACATCTCNTGGGAGATACGTCATGGGAATTCTAGATTCGACGGGAATTTCAAATTTCACAAGACGAGTGTCTTGGAAATGAGCTTCAGAAGTCACACGGACGTTGCTAGCGACTCGGAGGGCTTCGTAGTCAGATTCTGAAAATTCCGCGTCTTCTGATTCTTCTTCTACTCCTTTTCCCACTGCCGGTAACTCCCGTTTGGGCAGTTGGCGGCGCGCGGTGGAAATCCCCATATAGGCCCCACATCAGCCCCATTTTACCCCTGATTTCCCAACGACACAGGCTTTTCAAAAACGATTTTATTGATTACACAGAAACGCAAAACAGTCTTAAACAATAGACTACTCTAGATGAAAAACAATAAAGGAAATATGAAAAAATACAAAACAATCAGTAAAAATTAAGAAATGGAGCTAGACTTGGAAGTGGAGAAATGATCTGTCGTTGGAAAAGTCTAGCAGCATCCCGTCCGGTTTTTCGCTGAGCTCGCTGAAAAATGAAGATTATAAGGGGGAAAAAGTTTCATGACACTTACATTTTCAATTTTTCTCTTCAGGATTTGCTGATCTTTCTCTGGAGTCTTTCGATTCGGTTTTTCACCATCGTTGTCTTTCTCCTTTTTTCTCGCACCAGCCCTGAACAGATAAAATAATCTTCGATAGTAACAAGAAAGAGCACTCACCAGTCTTATTTTCGTTTTCCTTCGTAAACGTTTTGGGTACGATGAAGAAAGAATATGGGTTATCGAAAAAAAATAAAACAAATCATCACAAAAAAACTTAGAACAAAATTTTGCGTCATCGAGGATCCGCTTGTGCCAATATACTCTGTTGGCGCTCCCCATTTATCCCCCATCTACCTCCCGTTCCCCTCTTTCCAGTCGGCAGGGGAATCCCCACTTACTGCCCACATAGCCCCCGCTTGTAAAGAACGAGAATCTAGAATTCAGCGTTCCCTGTTTTGCCCCCATATAGTCCCCGTAACGAATAACTCCCAGATCACATGGGTAACTCCCAAATAACCTGGGTAACTCCCGTTTCGATTGGGTAACTCCCAAACTTCGCGGGTAACTCCCACATCAACTCCTATTAGGCCCCGAACCTCTCTCTAGAATTACCTGAGACTGGGAAATGGCGAATAGACACTTCCTGCCATGCTGCTTTCATGTTCTTTTAAGCTTCTCAGAATAAAATCTAGGAATCCAACAATTGGTAGAAAAAGTTTAATTGTCGCTAAAGAAATGCCGGGGGCCGAAGGTCCCACAACGACAACTACCGTAACCTAGAAATATGTTCATTCTCTGCATTATTTTTCTTCTTTTTTGCTGCGTTTCGTCGAGTTTTCTGCTAATCTTCTATTTTCCCAAAAAAAAGCCGGGAAATAAAAAATTTTAATAGTAAAAAATTGACTGAAAATGCACGAAAAATCGAGAAAATAAATACGGTAATATTTTTTGGTTACTGTAGTTATTGTTGTGGGACCTCCGGTTGCGGCTACCGGCGCTTCTCTTCCACAGCTCCATTTTTTCTTTAATTTGTTTATTTTTTCTCAAAAGTGTTTTATCATAGTCCAGTGTCATCCCGGATATTTGTTAAACTGGAATCCACTATTTTCAATATGTTTCATTCTGTCGAGATCCTTCAAAATAGTATTTTTCCTCTTCAGCTTCTTCTTCTTCTTCTTTCAGAAAATTTTTATTGAATTCAATACATTATCCCCAGTCATTTTCCAATGTTTTGCGCATCATCTGTATCCACTTCGAATGTGGCGTCCGCGCCCTTTTCTTTTTCTTTTAATATCCGAATCTTCAATTCTTCTTCTACTTTTTCTTTCCGTGGCAATTAGACACGGACCTGTCCCCCCATGTAACCAACTATCCAATTATTATGATTCGGTGTCCGATTCCCTCGTCGTTGTCTTCTTCTCCAGATCAAACCTATTTCTCTGTCTTTTCTCTATGGTTTCATTGTTCTTCTGTCAGCACTCGAACAAAATGAAATATGGGCTTTTCCGGCCCCGTCTCGAGGCAGTATTCAAAAAGGAGCTTTTATTCTTTGGTGCATTTCCAAGTCTCTTCATCTGTCCCACTCTTTTTCCAATGGATCATTTTACCACATCCAGAAAAGCCACAAGAACCAGTTAAAGAAGAATGAAACGACGTCTTCTTTTTAGTTTTCTTTCGGGTTCTCCTCCACTTTTTTGGGAATGAATGTACAAATAAAGACAAACATTTTCTGTGTTTCCTCCATACCTTTGATCTATTGTAATATGAGTTCCCGAGAGAAGCCATATGACCCAGGAAGAGTATCAATTTCCTTGCCAACTTTTTGGAATGGCCATCGTTTTTTCACTTTAGTTTTTCTCTTTCTGGGATCTTCAGACGTTTGTGTTTTTGGGATTGTATTCAAAAACATATTCAAAAACATCTTTGTTGTATTAATTCTGGCTCTTCTCTGGACTCCTCAGATAGCAAAATTCTGCTTTTTAATATACCGTAAACCTGTAAAAGAACTTACTTTTGATTTGAGCCGATGTTTCTTGGTTCCTGTGAAATATACAAAACGTTGTCCCCCGATAAATTGCTTATCATAATACCACAAATATTTTATCAGTTGACACATTTTTGATATCTTGCGTATTCATTGAGATAATTGAGCTCAAACTTGAGAGTCAAGATGCCTTCCTATTAGAGGTTTACAAGTGCCAATGGTGGAACCCAGAATTTTTATTATTATAGAGTGATAAATATAAAATTTTTCGAAAAGACTTTTGAAATCAAAAACAAATAACTCACATTTCTAGTGTCAAAACGCAGTGGTTTCCCGATTCTCTCATTTATATCAGTATATTTCCCTCTCATTCCTTCCTAACCATAATATCCATTCATTTTCCCATTTCACCACATAAATAACAACAATGTGGGTGACGCCCGTTTGAAGTATAAACCAATGCATTGAATTCACAAATTCATAAATAAATCAAAAGGATCCTTTTTCTCTTCACCAGACTCCCATCATGCCTCTTCAGATCCATTTTCTCCAGATTCTGCTTCTTCTTCTTCTTTTTTTTCCAACCATATACATTTGTCCCCCTGTCTTCTTCTTCTTATGACGACTAGCCGTATGTATGGGACACTCAAGTGTTCGCACCCGGTTTGCGCAACCGTTTCTCTTCTTTCCGCGAGGCGACACTTCGCGGGACTGACCAACGGTTGGACAAAAAACTGAACACAGAAAAAAACAACTGATATCGGAGGGAAATGAAGTACATGCCGGATGAATGGCAGCAGCAAAGATCCAGTCTCTCTCTCCGTGAAATTATGGGAACTTTTTTCTCGTACTACTACTACTACTTCTAAAAGCCAGTTATCCTTGTTTTCTTCATGTGCCTAGTTGACTACTGCAGTTTGTACACTTCAGGATTGTTTACCTTGACTATTATTTAGGATTAACAATATTAAGGTTGATTCAGAGTCATTTTTGTTATCGGTTGAATATAACGTAAACACTCTAATAGAAAGCCACCCAAACCGTCAGTTTTGAGCTCATATATCTCGTTTCCTGTAAAAGATATCAAAAAGTGTCCAACTGATAAAATGTTTATCATAATCACAAAATTTTTGTCAGTTAATAACTTTTTGATACCTTTTAAAGGAACCGAGATATCTGAGCTTAAAGTTGAAGATTTTAGTACCGTTTTATCAGCGTGTTTACGGTAGTTTGGTTGAGAATTTGGCTCTAGTATGAAATTCTGGTCCTTAGAAAAATTCTGGTCCTTAAAAAAATTCTGGTCCTTAGAAAAATTCTGGTCCTTAAAAAAAATTCTGGTCCTTAAAAAAATTCTGGCCCTTAGAAAAAATTCTGGTCCTTAAAAGGTGTTCATGTAAATATGCATTTTTCATCGGAAAATTTGGTAAAATCCATGAATTTTGTTATTTTAGTTTGTTTTCAAAAGATATTCGTGGTAGACGTTGAAATTTTGTTATCAGAAAGGAAATATATGTTGCAAGTATCAACGTCAATTGCACCCATAGTCCATCTTCTAAAGAAACATCAGGAAAATTGAAAATATACAAATTTCGAGTTTACAGATATAAAAATGTTCTTATTGGATGTAATTTGTTAACCATGGTTTCAAGACATCTTTTTTCAAGAAGGCTGTCTTGACGGTTTCATTCAAAAGAAGAAAGAATATCCGTATAGTTTGGATTGAATATTTTGATTTTCTTATTCAAAAACATGTAAATGCATGAAGCTTCTTGAATTAGTGTACAATCTCAAATTCATGTTTAAGTTATTCTAGACGGTTCGTACAACATGTGAACAGAAGTACCCCATTCTACACCATACGTCCCGTTAGACTCATTACTTTTAAAATGTTGTTATAACGGATATGACTATTGCACTACAAGTTTGTACGTAGGTTATAAACAATAAGTACGGTCTTTTTTCCGTAAAGGGCGCTCGGAAAAAAGTAAAAATAAGGAAAAACCTATTAAAGTCTCACAATATCTTGCAAATCACACGAAGTGTCTATTTTTAAAATCCTCGTGTATTACAAAAAAAATGTTTATTCTTGAAACCACCGTTAAATCAAGATAAGCCAAATATTTTTTTAATTGACATAAGTCTCGTAATTCAAATGTTCGACCTATATTTGGAACGTTACTCGCCCTGGGGCATCTGATATACATGGTACTTTTAGTTCTTATTTCTTATCAACTAGAATTTTTTAAATTTGATGGAACTCAAAATTTGTATAATTTCTCAAAATTTGTATAATTTCACGAATATCTTTTGAAAACAAACTAAAATAACAAAATTCATGGATTTTACGAAATTTTCCGATGAAAAATATATATTTACATGAACACCTTTTAAGGACCAGAATTTTTTCTAAGGACCAGAATTTTTATTTAAGGACCAGAATTTTTATTTAAGGACCAGAATTTTTATTTAAGGACCAGAATTTCATACTAGAGCCAAGAAGTTCAGGTCACAGTTTTGACACTATTTTCGCTGAGATATAAATTCAGATTAAAATAAATTACAAATTACAAGATATGTATGTAGAAGGTTCGAAACTCGATATACACATCTCTTTTAAGAAAAAAAATAAAATTTGTTACAAAAAATTTTCCACTACAAAGAAGAAACTATTTTTGTTGTATATCATTGCCAAATGTCAACCAACTTAATCATCTTCTAACTCATTTTGTGAGAACTACCGTGGTGTAGTTGTATTTCTGAAAGTATACTTAGCTTTTGCATCACCATCAAATCGAAAGGTTTCCTATGCTGATACCAATACAAGTTATTTCAATGTGATTCTGATTTCAACACTCTAGATAAAAACTAAAATGATACTTCTCAAATACTTGATGATGTTTTTTCAACAAGCAAAAAGAAAATGCAGCCAATCTATTCCCCATAACTAGTCCTTTTATTTTCCCCAATACAAAAATAAAATTGCACATTTCGCCTCTTGGTTCCTCTTCATTTTCCTCTTCCAAATTCGATCGTCAATCATTCGGCATGTCAGTTCGTTCGCGCCCCTGATGCCATCTTTCGTCGACACGTCATAAATCTTCGCGATATGTTTCCTATGCATCCATTTTCTCAGAAATTACGCACATCTGAGAAAGATTCAAAGTTCCTTCCGGATCATAACTTCTCTGAAACTAAAGTTCTTTCGAATCGGATTACACGGACAAAGTTCTGTAGCCGTCTGCGAATCCCAGTCTCTTTCCCAAATATGACTGATTTCTTCTATCAATTTCTATTTTTTGAATCTTATTCAATACTTTTGAAATTCTATCATTTTGATAGTAACCGGAAACATTCGCCGGATCACTTTTGTTTGTCCATTTGTTGTCTTTCAAATGCGCAGATATGACCACTTCACAAATATTTCGGCCGTTCGGTTTCCCCATCCGCAGTGGTGCTCACCACACAAGCATTTTTTTGGCCTATTCAAAAACTTTAATATTTTTTCCATGTTTCAAAATCTCCTCTTCTTTTTTGTCCATCTTTTTGTGAGAAATGAATGTCACGGAATGCTTCTTTTTTTGAAGAATACGGCGAAGAAGAAGAAGAAGACGCTGTTCATTCGTTTTCGGTAGCTCCGCTGCTTCTTCGCATATTTTATTTATTCAAAACGAAGCCGTTTTTTTCTTTATTCCTGGTAGTTCAATAAGCTTTTCTTCTATTTTTTCGAGGCCTATAATTTGTATTCTTATTCCCATCTGGCGATTATTTTCGAGATGCCAAATTGAATTTAGGAATGAAGAAAAAGGAGTTGTAGCGAGAAATGAAGAAGAATGAGAGCATGATGACGATGATGATGTGAGAGAAATAGTGGGAAGATTTTCTGTTTGAAGTTTCCATATTTCTACAAAGCCAAGTTTAAAAGAGTACCAAGTTGATGTATACTCGATCGATTTGTACTTTGTGTTTGTAACTTTCAACTTTGAACCAATTTATCACAGTTCCTGTGAAAGATATCAAAAAGTGGTTAGCTAAAAACATATTTTTGATATCGTGGTGAACATTTTGTTAGTTAACAACTGTGTAATATCTCTTATCGAAGTGGAGATAATTGAGCTCAAAGTTGACGGCTACGGTAGTTACAGTCAAACAGCTCCCCTAACATAGGTTTTATGATTATTGTAACATTTTTACGGTAATAGTTAAAAAAACAACAAAAAGCTTGATTATCAATTAAAAACATCTCGAATACATTTTCTTTAGATTTATTTTTTTGAAAAAAGAGTAGCCCTATTGTCTTTAGTTTTCAACATCCCTATATTCTATCTCCCTCAGTTTCTCTCTTTTTTGAAAGCTTTTAGTGAGTAATTACCCCAGTCCTAGTCATAATAACCAATTTTCTCTATCATCAACACCTTCCTCTTTTCTTCTGACTCTAGAATACCGCCTATCCGGACACCCTATGCTCTCTTCCTCTTTTTCCTTTCACCCAAACCATTTGACATCTTTTGAGTTCCAACGAAACACACTAACGATGCCATTCATTTCAAGGCAATAGCTTGGGAGATTGAGAAAAGCAGAGAAAAGTGACTTGGGAAGACAGCATAGAGTAGAAGAATATGGAACAGGAGTTCGCAATATAAATAAAAAGAAAGGAAGGATCAGATGCTTTTAAATGTAAAATTGTGCTATACCAAGTATTATAGATCTTCATCTGTCAAACTCTTGACGCCATCTCTTTTTTTTATTCCTTTTGGTGTCACTTCAAGAAAGCATACATATTGGATGCGAAAAAAGCAAAAGAAGAAGAAGAAGAAGTGCGAGTAGGCAGTGGGGATGTCCACTCAAAAGAGGAAGGAGTTTCCCCTCTGGAGGGCGCGAAACGAGACGTGTATTGGAGCATGATTGGATTGGGCTCTCTGTGTCTTCTCGACTGCGTTCACGTTGAACCCACACCCTCTTTCCCTCTCTTTCCTTCTGCTTCCATTCTGGTTATGTCCGTTCGTTGCTTCTTCTTCTTCTCCTTCTTCCCCATTCCCTTCTGTTGTGGTCTCATATATTTCGCGCGAGTTCGCCTCGTTGATCTCTCTGCGTCTCGATATTCCAGATTATTACAACCCCAACTGTTAATATTTCTGCGACTCTCCGGGACCAGATTTCTCCCGTTTGCTCTTGTTCCCCTTGTCTTCTTCTTCTTCTTCTTTTGCTCCAAAATCCTAGCTCTCAGTCTAATGCATTATGTGATGGGAGGCAAAATAAGAGTGGTCATTCTCTCGTGTTTCCAAACCGCTACGTAATCCCTCCGTTGATGCTATTTCGCGATTTTGTCATGTAAGGTTGAGACCCTTACTTTTCAAAAAAATTGTTTCGAAATTTTCATGCTTACTCATTCATTTCTCGCTGTTCTCCGAGTCGTTTCTGTTTATTTTGATTTTTTTTGTTTTGTTCCAGAATGACACATACTGCAATCAGTTGATTTTGGCTCAATTCTGTAGTGAAACTTAATGAGAAAATATGATTTCGTCTTCACATACTATTAAAGTTTCTAGAAAGTATACAAATCCAGATTTTTAAAATAGAAAATCTACTTTAAGTTTTTAACTTCGATCCATCGTTCCCTATTTCTCCAGCTGACTCATCATTGCTGATCTGATCATGTTCTTTTTACTTTTCTCTTATCACCTGTCAAAATTGTTTCCTGATTTTTTTTTTCGACCCCGTTTAATTCAATGATTCACTCTAGAGAAGCCTGCTCTCCAAAAGAACCCCCCCCCCCCACAAACATTTTGTCTAGTTCTTTTTTGACTCGTTGCACTAATCCGATGAATAAATCAGTTGTTCTTTTTTGGAAAACAAAGAACTCGGATTTAGTTTGTGTCTGGATTAGACCTACTATGAGATTTAGAATAAGTTTTTTGACGACTTCTTTGACTGAACAACTTCAGAAACCTTGGAACTTCTTTATTACTCTTTCTTTCAAGTTCTTTTTTATTCCTCTCAATTACACCTTCAATTTCTTTCTCTCCTCGTTTATGACCTTTCCCGAAAAGTTGGGGGTTTCGTTTTGTACAAGATTTCATAAAAAGAGAAACAGTTGACAGTCTGTTTGCGGGTTTAGTCAACATACCAACTCTTGACATTCATTAGCCGAAAAGATATATGAAAGTCTTCCAAGCGACTTTGTTTTGCACTAGTAGCCCTCAAAAGGTTCAAAAAGTTCCAGAAGTTTTACGAATAGCTTTGAGCTAATTTTCTTCGGTTTTTCTCAAAGATAAAAAAGCTGTCAACTGCTAATTGTTTATCACATTACCAACAATGTTTCGTCAGTTGAAACATTTTTGATATCTTGCATAGGAATGGAAATAATTGCTTGACAGTGTCCTTCTATTACAGGTATTATGGTATTTAAAATTCCAGGGTTAGCTTCAGGGTTCAAAACTTCTGAGCATTTCTTTGCCCGCAATAAGCTCAAAGATTGATTTTTTTTTCCCAGTTCGAATCTGCGGTTCTAGCATGAATGATTCTAGGATATCATTTAGTCTTATTATGTTTATGATGGTTTCTCTAGAGAAGTTCTGTATGTCTTCGTTTATTCCGTCACTTTCTTAACTTGAAGCTTACTGATTTTACTAAAGAATGCAAGGCAATATGCTTGATTATCCCATAACCATCCTCCGAGTTTGTGCTGGAAGGACAACTGCCAGTTCCATTTAGAAAATAAGTTGTCCCTTGGAGACCGAGATTATATACCGTAACCATCCGAATACAATGACCCCTTTGAATTTGTACTTTGAGCCAATTTACCCCGGTTCCTGTGAAAGATAAGAATGAAAAAGTATGGCAAAATGTTTTTGATATTATGACATTTTTAGAGTGACCACTTTTTGATACCGAAATGAGCTATATAGGTTTTTTGTTAGAATTTTTACGGTAGGTATTCCACAAATATAATGTTTTAGGGTATACTTTCGTTCTATATCAGTCTAAAATCTGGAACTTCATCAAACATTTCTTTCTTCCAACCCGTAACCTTCTTCTTCTATTTCTTTTCTTGATCCACCATCTGCCACCCCTTCTAAACATATTGCTCAAGTGTATACATCTCTTTCTCTTCTAAAAGTGCTTCTTCCATGTTTCCCATTTTCCCTTCTTTCCTTCCTTATTTTCCTGACCGTCTGTTCTTTTTTCTCTAATCCTCTCCATCAATCCCACACTTTCTCTCTATCTCTCTGTATAAATTCATCCGAATACTCATCCAGGCGAATGTTTTCCTCCGGTACTTCCGTTGATTGTTCAACTTGATAACCTTTTGCCGATTCCATATTCCTTCTATTTTCTATAGATTCTCCAAGTTATGAATTCGAATTCTGTTAGTTTGTTTGCCCTTCTCTTTTTGGGTGCCACTCCTTACTTGACTTATTTTTTACAACAACTACAAAACTCTTTACTTACTTTCTCTTTTGCTTTTTTTCGCCAAACAAACTGTTCTACTATTTTTTGTTCTTTTTTTTCAAGAAGTTTCTTACTTGCGGCTCGTTGAGCAATTTCACTCCGAGTCGTTTCAATTTTTCCTCAAAAATCAAAGGAAAACAACTTTTTGCTATTTCGAACTAGAAGACAGCTATTATTCTTGTCCGGCGGCGATGAACCTTGTGGCCGAAATTTTATTTAAAGGCGCATAGTCGGTCCTGAAACAAAATAGCAAAATTTTCCTGAGAAAATTCATGGGCATTCGATACCGTATCTCAAAATTTTTATTTTTGCCTATTCCTTTCCGATTTTCGCTCTTTTCTCGTTTCCGAATTTCCTTATTGGTAAAAATGGGTCACAGTAAATTGAAATAAGGTATCGAAAATGCGTGCATTTTCTCAGAAAAATTTCACTGAATTCGGTTCAGGACCGACGATGCGCCTCGAAATACATGTTTCGGCCACAAGGGTCATCGCCGCCGGACAAGAATAATAACATTTAGAATAAAATTGATAAAAATATAAAAATTTCAAACAAATATTTTATTAACTAAAAGAACCAGTTGTGCTACAATTTTTGTTTCTCCGCCGCCTCCTTTTGAACTCTTTCCAAAGTATGGTAAATTGGTTCCTGAACTACTGGCGTCTTTGGTTTTTCTTTTTTTGGTTTCAATGGTTCTGTGAATTGTGAAGCTGCTACCATCTTTTCAGAAGTCATTGGTTTTCCGCATGATGGGTTGGAGACTTTAGCATATGGGTTGATAAATGTACCTCCCGTACTTCCGACGATGAACGTCTGAAAATTAATCATACTTTCTCCGGTATTTTCAAAAAAAAAAGAGTTTAAAAAATCAACATTTTATTAGGTTTGACTAGTATTAGGATCTAAGTGCACTGAGCCGAATGTTTATTGTTGTGGTTTCCACATGTTTGATTTAGCAGTTACACTTTTAGCCTCATCTTCCGAATTGCTCACTTCATAAGCCTCTATTCCGATTTGTGCCACTGAGATGAGAACGTGGATCAGGACGAAAAATGAGAGAAGCGAGTTTCCGGAGACACAGAAAAACAATAGAACCCCCGAAACCACAGGTGCCAGAACCACTGTGAATTTGAGCCTTTTATCAGTCCGCAACAATGTCTAACTCACAAGCAGCTGACTTTCCACGTGTCTCACAGTCCGGATTGCCAACAACTTTTCGGATTTCATCGCGACCATCCGTACCATATGCAATGTTGTAACCGGATGCTGCTGCAGATGTTCCAGCAAAGATGAGGTAGAACAATTTGGAGAAGCTGGAAGTCTCTTCCAGAGATCCAAACATTTGAAGAAGCTCGAAAAGTGAGCAAGTGATGATGGCTACACGGGCACCGAACACGTAGGATGTGTAATCGTACGGCGGGAGTCTGTCCATTTTTCCGTTGTCCTCTTGGTTTTGGAATCACAGAGTGGTTTGAGATTCCGTGGGGGAGAGCATGGGTATTTATGAGAAAAAAAAGTAGGATAGTAGAGGAGGCTTGGGTGCTAGGTTTGTAGAATTTAGGGAACTGATTTTTTCACGACTTTAGTCATAGTTGTTGTGCCAGAAATTTTTTCTTAAAATTTTGTGTAACGACCTGAATTTGAATCAAATAAACTGTTCTAATGAACCGTAAAACCTGTATTAGAATGGTCGGTTCCGGTTCTTGTATTGTTCCAAGGTACTTCCAGAGGGCCCTTCAATTAGAGTGGGTATTTCTATAGCTCCGTCCATTTTTCCGGAAATTTTCATCGAAATGTTTGGCGAATTTTCCTTCAAAATTCATGAAAATCTTTTTTTTTTAATTATTGAACAACTTTCAGTGAAATTGTGTAATTTCTGGAATGTTTTTTACTGGAAACATGCGGCAATTTTTAATTTCAGACAACATATTTGGCAGGCCCTTCTAAAACTGGTTTTACTGTTTATCTATGACTTCCTATGAATCTTATTGCCTGATTTCCCCTTTCAACCAAAAAATTTACAAATGAAAGATCATCTCCTTCCAATTCCTTCCGGAGCTATAGTCGTCATGTTTACATGCATCTTCCAAAAACTTCCATTCATATTTCATTCATTCCATACTTCCTTCTCTTCCTCGTTTTCTTTTTTCATTCTAGAAAAAACACTACGTCTTTTTACGTAATAAAGACCAGAGCTTTTCTAAGAATCTGCAAAAAAAATGTGCAGAGCTTTTCTGTCTGATAAAAAAGAACGGAAAATAGAAAACAAGAGAGTTCCGTTTCTCTGTTATGATTGATGAATGTCATTTCTTAAGAGTCGTTTTTATCCGCAAAAAACGGACACTTCTCATCTCTGTTTTTCTTTGTTTGTCTGCTTATAGAAAGTAAATTGTTTCTCGTTTCTCTGATATGATGGTTTGTTCGTAATACAGTAATCTCTCTAACAGGAGCCCACCCAAACCATCAACTTTGTGCTTAATTATCTCGATTCCTGTAAAAAATCAGGTTTGGGTGGTCTTCTATTAGAGGAAATGCGGTAACTTTTTTATGGATACAATTTGTGTGGACATCACGGTCTGTACTACAATCAGTTTTCCATATAAAGTAAAATCTTACCTAGATCTCAATCATATTTGTTCCTTTATTGTTCTCCAGACCATTTGCTACTTTCTGGCACGTTGCCATAACTTTCCCTGTAATCTTTTCACCCACTTTCCACTCGATTCGTTCTAATTTTCTCTTTTCAATAAACGCAATCCAATTAGTTTCCTACTCTCTTTTCTCCTTAAATCCATGCCGAAACCTGTATTTTCTATTCATTTTATCACAGCTATCACCCGGGGGCAAAACGTCCTGTCATAATTATTAACATTCAATATTTTCACTTTCTCTCCTTCACGACGACAATCCGTTCTCCTCTTTCTTTTGCTTTCCGTCGTCCTGAATTCTAATAAATCCTGAATTTACTCTCTTCTTCAGAAAAGAAGACGTCGCCACGACAACAACAACAAGTGGGCGGTGCTTGCGTGGTGCGCACCGCTGATAACACCGACAAAATAGTGTGCAAGACGGTGAGACACAAAGAAATATATCATTTCAGGTCATTCCATGGGCGCCCGTACGAGACGGAAAACTGTCCTTTATTGTTGCGGTTATGCAATAATATCCTCTTGGATATTGACACCATGCCTCCTTTGTGTCCATTCCGCTCGCAATTCCCCTTCTCCAGAACTGATAGTAGTTATCTTTAAAATCCATCTTTTCCTATTGCAGCTTCCCAGTCAAATCGAGTCTGCCGGAGGGATGACAACGGCTTCAGAGCTGCTGTCTGACGACGCAAGGGCTCGATTCTCCCACACGAAGGCACTCTTTGAGCAACTTGAAAGACAACAAGATGTACGTTTCTGCATGTTGTTAGAATGCATGTTTATAAAACATCGTACATTCCCAAGATAGTTTCTTTTCGATTTTCAGCAAACAGTTTTATAGATTCTACTATTTTAGTTCATATGACTCTACGAGTCTCATATACGGGATACTGTACCTTCAAAAAATTATTGAACTTCCGTATATTCCCTCTAGTAGAAGCCTAACCAAACCGTTAAATTTAAGCCTAATTATCTCAATTCCTGTCAAAGATATCAAAATTTTGTCAACTAATAAATATTGGTTATATTATAGAAAATAATTTATCAGTGGACAAAATTTTGATATCTTTCATAGGAATCGAGATAATTGAGCTCAAAGTTGACGGTTTCAGTGAGCTTCTATTAGAGGTATGTTCGCAAATTTTGGTTTTCGTAAATTCTAGTTTGTCATCGATCTTGTATTTCTCAAAAATTCAGTTCAGGAATTTACTAATAGTTCATTGATACTTTTTCGAATGCAGCTGTGACTACGCCTACTCATGAATTTCAGAAATAAAATATACAGTTCTTCCAGAGATCACTTGATCCCAACTTATGAAAAATCTCTAAACTCTGAAACTCTTCTAGGTTCCCTCCTTCTACTCTCCACGTCTTCAACGTCAACCACCACCTCCACTTCCTCCAAAACCTCCATCACAGTGCCCACCGAGCCCAATGTCGCAGGTAAGCGATGTGATCAAACAATCACATGGCTCATCTCTATTTTCCCATTCTTCTCTTCTTCTTTTTCTATTTTTTGCCGTCTTTGTTTCTGTTCGACACCCTCAAACAGTCATCATTTCACACATTGTGTTGTCTGTTTCTGTATGACCTAATCCGCTCATCTATAATAGATTCATGAAATTATCAGAGAGAGAACTGACTCCTCGCGCACACTCTCAAACAGACACACACAAAATCAAAAATTCTCGATCACTTTTCAGGTCGAACGAAACTTCTCCGATTTGGCAGCAGATCTGGACCGAATCCAGTCGTCGCCTGCAACTTCACGATTCGTACAAAATAAGTGAGTGGTACCTTTTTTTATTTTCAAAAGATTTTTCTTCCTTTTTGAATTACTAACAAGTTTTATATTTTCAACAGCTTCGCATGCTCTTTCTTTTCCTATTTAGATCTTCAACTCTCCCGTCGTCCTATTCGGAATCGGCGTATTCATTCGAGAATACGGTAGCCACGTCTCAATACGGGATTCATCATAACAACAACAATAACAACTCTTTTGAGCCCTATTGGAGGAATGGATCTATCTACAGAAGGCAGTTCGAGAAACCGTATGTGATATAGAAATTTCTATTCTTTGCATGCTTTTGCTTTGTTTCGAGTTTCTTTGGTTTTCTCAGTTTAGACTAACGAACGAATGAGTTAAACAAAAGCCAAAAGCTGATTTTGTGAGCTACAGTAATCTTCTATTTTTTCCATTTTCGGTAACATTGATGCTGATGAATGCATTCAAGTAGTACTGTATTTAAGAAAAATACGTAAAATAATTGAAAAATAAAAAAACTTCACAATATTAATCTGGTATGCAAAAATTGGAGCTGTAAGAGAAAATCTGATAGCAGCGACCCCGGCCGAACCACCGTAGGGATCTGAAAACTAGACAAAAAAAATGAAAACGAGATAATGAATGCCGAAAATAATTTTTTTTAGGTTACTCTAGTTGTCATTATGGGAAATTTGGCCACGGTCCCTCTCCTTCTCTACTACAGCTCCGATTTTTTTTCCAGAATAATACCCCTCCTGTTTAAAAAGCTTTGTCTAGAAGAGGGTAATTTTTCAAAAATCTGATTTCGATGAATTATTGGATTACCAAAACTTGATCATCAAAGTTCCATATCTCTTTTGTTCAGCAAACATCTGCACATCAAATGGACCAAGTTTTTTTTCAGATTTGCCGAAGAAAACGATGAAAACGGGAGCACTACAAATGGAATAAAACACACAACATACGCCGTTGTGAAGACTCCAAGAGAAACAGAATCAGAATCAACGTCTTCAGAAAATCGTGGTCTCATGGAAACTCGAAGAGGTCTGAGTCCGGAACGACCGGATGCCGACTTAACAAATCGAAAGGTCTCGTTCAGCACTGCACCTATTCCGGTAAGACACCCCAACCCCACTTCTAACCAATTCTCTTATTTTGTTTATGTATGGTAAAAGGTGACATTAATTAATTATTGATATTAATACAATCCTCGAATTAGGTCACTCATTGATATGATAAAGAAGAAGAAGAAGGAGAAGAGAAGAGGGGAGAGAGAGAGAGAACGTTCTCAATTTGCATAATATCATCTTCTTATTCGTTTTCTTGTCACTCAAAATCCTTTTCACTTTCAGGTCTTCTCCGCATTTTCCGTTGAAGACTATGATCGGAAGAATGAAGACATTGATCCGGTTGCAAGTTGTGCTGAATATGAGTTAGAGAGAAGATTGGAGAGAATGGATCTGTTTGAAGTAGATCTCGAGAAGGGAGCTGAGGGGCTTGGAGTTTCTATTATTGGTTAGTTTAGTTGATATGGACGGCGACAAACCTGTCGACGGGCCAACTGATATCTCGCTTCAAAATTGGTATTGTGAGCAAAACATCATACCAAATGATAAATCTTGGCGAGCTCTACAGCGTCAAACAAAAATCGACTAGCATTTAAATCAGTATCCGGGTACAGGCCGGCTAAAAACTCGGACCAGAATACCGTTTTTGAAGCCGGTCGATTCTTATTGGAGATTGTAGAACTCTCCGACCTCTATCATCTGTTATGCTGTTTTGCCCACAATTTCGATTATAAATCGAGTTATCAGTTGGCCCGGAATCGGCCTGTCGACAAGCATAGGAAAACATTAAATCTTTTACGGATTTCCTTTTTTCAGGAATGGGCGTCGGAGCTGATTCTGGTCTGGAGAAACTCGGAATCTTTGTGAAGAGCATAACCCCCGGAGGCGCAGTTCATCGAGACGGTAGAATTCGTGTCTGTGACCAAATTGTATCAGTTGATGGAAAGAGTTTAGTTGGTGTATCCCAGTTATATGCTGCTAATACTTTGAGATCCACGAGTAATAGAGTCACCTTCACTATTGGTAATTTTTTTGAACGCTTAAAATGGTTTTATAAGGTTGCTATTTTTAGGGAGAGAACAAAATCTCGAGGAATCAGAAGTTGCTCAGTTGATCCAACAGAGTCTTGAACAAGACAGAATACGAATGATGGGTGACGAAGAAGATGAAATCGAAGAGCCACCACCACCACCGTCACAAATGCCACAAATGAACCAGATGAATCAGATGACAGAACATGACCGACCAACGAACTCCATGATTTCGAAGGAGGAAGCGGAAATTCGTTCAAAAATTGCTGCTCTGGAATTGGAACTGGATGTAACACACAAAAAAGCTGAACACTATCACGAGATTCTGAGCACCACAAAATCTCATTGTGATCAGTTGGAAAAGCAGAATGAACAAGCGAATCATATGATCAAGAGCTATCAGGAAAGGGAAAAAGAGCTCCTGAATAGAGAAGAGAACCACGTGGAACAGTTGAGGGATAAAGATGTGCATTATGCTTCTCTAGTTCGTCAATTGAAAGAAAGAATCGATGAATTGGAATCAAAATTGGAAGAAGCAGAAGAGAGAAGACATTCGATTCAAAATTTGGAATTGATTGAGCTAAGAGAGAAATTGAAGCAGAAAATTGAGAATAGAAACGAAGGACTCGCTTACAAACCAGGCGGTGAACTTCCTCACGAAGATAAAGCAGTAATGGCTAATTTGGAAACTATAGTAAGTGTCTCAATACCTCAAAAAGTAGAAGACATAGTTTTTGCAGACCCCTGCTAACAAGAAAGACGCCGAAGTATCTGTGGGCAGTAGTTGGACGGAAGAGTATTCTTCCCCTTGCGAGTCACCCGTACCGAGGATTTCGGAGCCAGCTTCTCCAGCTCTTCCACATAAATTGACTCACCGCAAACTTCTTTTCCCACTTCGGAAGAAGTATGCTGAGAACGAGTTCTGGCGTGCCACGTGTCAGCCAGTCGGACTTCAAGCTCTTCATTGGACCGTCGACGATGTCTGCCAACTTTTGGTCTCGATGGGTCTAGACAAGTATGTTCCAGAGTTCACAATCAATAAAATTGATGGGGCCAAGTTCCTGGAACTGGATGGAAACAAGCTGAAGGTGATTTCTAAAGTTTCTTTGAAAATATTCTGAAGATCTTTTTAGGCAATGGGTATTCAAAATCATTCGGACCGTTCTCTAATCAAAAAGAAAGTGAAAGGGATGAAAAATAAAATTGAAAGGGAACGAAAACAATTGGAACGAGAGAGCCGTACTCGAGTTATTGCACATACCATTCCAATGTGATTTCCTTTTTCTTTGTTGAATACACATTCTATTTTTCCCCGTCTCAAGGTTGTTATGAATCGCAATCCAATGGGTTCTTCTATTCTTTTTTTTCCTGAACTATATTCAGTTTTTCGACTATTTCTCCATCATCCACATCCCCGCCTTTTCTTTCCATTTCATCATCCAGAAAAAAACCATTTTCCAAACTATTTATTTTTCTTCACTGTCTCCTTTTTTCAGTCAACACCAAAAAATTGTGATATAACTCTTGACACGTTTTCACTCTAACAATGTTAACTTCAAATTATCAATAAATCGATAATTAAAATGTTTTATGTGGAGTCGATATCTATAAAATACCCCTTCGATATGGTTTCTTCAGAGTAGGAGAGATATCTCAAAAAGAACATTTGATTCACAAAAGAACCATGTTCAAACGGTAAATGTCTTTGAACCTGGTTTACATTTAATGGGCAATGGGATAAAAGTATTAAATATCAGTTCAGAAAGAAAACTTCAGTTTATGTATTCTAAATTAAATAAAATAGGCACCTAGAATTTTCAGGTCTGAAAATAATTCGAAAATCATGATCGTTTGGACCGTTTGGAAAAATTTGGACCTTGAACAGCATATTTATTAAAGCCGTTGAACGAGTTCTCATTTAAATGAGCGAATTTGCTTACTTCTCATTTTTATCAGTTCTTATCAGTAAAAGTTATTTTTTGTAACAGTTCTCATACATGAAATTCTTAAGTGTAGCAGTTTTTTTCTCAGAATTTGCACGGCAGCTGAAGAGGCGCAAACTGGTGTATGACTGCTACAGTGCGTTGCAGGTTTTTACGGCCACCCATGTTTAGGGTCATAACTTGAGAGCTGTTAGAGGAATAGGGCTAATTTTCTGAAAATCGGATTCGGGACAACACATTACATCTAGTGAACAATGTTTGTAATGAAACCTTGAAAGCTATCCGAATTATCTGGAAAAGTCTGAAAATATGCCTTTCGCAACCGTTGCAAGTTTATACGTCCACTTCAAAAATCAGTAGATCACGACCTCCAGAGTCCAATTTTGATTCCTCCTTCTTGGAAACGAGCTTGGGAAAGAGAAATGAAATGGAAGATGTAAAAAAATGGATTTATTGACAAAAGAAATTTCAAACATAGATATTCCTGAACATATCAACAAAAATTATGAAAAATGACAAGTTTCAAAAGTGTACTGATTAGCCAGACTTTCGTCTGTTGATCCCTTTCGCCACGTAGAGGCTCAGTACATGAAAGGGAAAATGGGTTTTCACTGGGGGAAAACACCAACACAAAACCCCTGTCTCCGAGGAGACAGTTTTCTAATTTTCAATAGTTCTTTTTCACTGCTAAAAAGCTATACGATCGCTATTTATTGTTTTTGTTCATTTGTTTTTTTTTCTTAGATTGAGTCTTTTGCAAAAGGGGGACGTTCAGTGAAAATGAATTCACCTAGCCATGAACCACCAAACATGGCGACCTTGAGGGCCTTTTGTAACTTTTTTCGCATCCGAACAATCGAAAGAAAAAAGCAAATGAAACAATAAACAGCTTTCGCAGGGAGCTTCAGGGAAGTCAAATAGTGCTGGTGAAAATTATCAAACTAATTCAAAAAGTGGGATTTCCCAAAGGACTGTTTTTCTTCAATACGTGGAATTTTTACAACGTGGACAGAGGTAGGGGCAAGACCTAATATTGATTGATTTAAAGGTTTATTGAGTAACGTGTGAAAAGTTTAAAAAAACTCGAAAATTGAAAGTAGATTTACGTAACCCATTAAAAAAGTGAAAAACTAAGGACGAACGAGTAAAAACTAGGTTGGATCGCGCCGAAGGCGCACCATCTGTTGTTTTATTTATTGGGCAATTATCTCGGTTCCTATAAAAGATACTCGAAATTGGTCTACTAATAAAATGTTAGTGATATAAACGGTGATAATTTTGTCAGATACTTTTTTAGAATGAAAAACATCCATGCTAAGGTTATTTTGGTAGATCATGTTAAACTTTGGCACCTTCCCCCAGTTGGATCCGATGCACTTTTGAAAGAAGTTGAGACAACGCACTTTGTGATCATCGGTAGGTGTCGGAGCTGGGACCATGATTGCTCTTTTGATGCCTGGATTATCTTCGAGACATATCTAACCCGTTCACTTGATGACTTCAAGTTTCAGATCCTCGTTGATACCATTACACGACTTCAAAGAGTTTAAAACAACAGTACTGGTAGAGGGTTGGAATCTTGAGGGCAGGTTTTGAGCTGATCCTGTTTTTTTCAATATTTTCCGGATGAGAAAAATGTCGATATGACAGTGTGAATGCTTTAATTGCTTTCTGAAAGCTTTTTGGTCCATCCAGCTGCTCCAAATGCTACGATTGAAGCTTTTCCAGCATCAGTCGGCAAAAGATCCCATGACGTGATACAAACTCAAAGAAATGTGAAACATGTAAGGAAAACAACATTTAACAGTGATTTTAGTTCTACAGAATTAAAATTTTGGACACCTCCGTCTTCGCTGAAGGTCGCGATCTACTGATCTTTGGAGTGGGCGAATAAACTTGCAACGTTTGCGAAAGGCATATTTTCAGACTTTTCCAGATAACTCGGGTAGTTTTCAAGGTTTCATTACAAAAATTGTCCACTAGATTAATTTTGTTGTTTCGAATCCGATTTTCAAAAAATTAGCCGGATTCCTCTAACAGCTCTCAAGCTATGACCCTAAACATGGGTGGACGTAAGAATCTGTTATGCACTGTAGTTGACAGCCGAAGGAGAACCGACGGGCCGTCGACGGACTGTTGGCGGACAATTTGAACCCCTTGGGAACTGGGAAGTTTTGATTGAAAATCACCCAGAAAACAATATTTCATGCTAAAAATTGATAATTAAGTAATGATAGAAGCTCATTTTCCTCACATTAGAATACTTCAAAAATAGGTTGTTAACCGACTGCTAACTGGCAGTCGCGATGAATGGTAAATGACCGCTGGTTGGCGGGCTGAATTTAAGCGGAATGGAAAACTTGACTGAAAAAAAATATGATAAGCATAAAAGTCATAGAGGGGTCTGTGAATCTAAATTATGCATTTTAAGAAGTATTTCTACATGAATTAGAATCTGAGATTTGTTTGGTGAAAAATGTCTGAATGACAGTCGAAGAGGCACTACGGCTGCAGCTGGATAAAACAATCCGTTTTCCGGAAAAAATTCAAGAGAAAGTGTTTCCTGCGATTACTGATGAATGTTTGCTCTTTGGTCTTTCGGATAATTCACTACCAAATAGAGCAAAAATTATGGAAAAATGAATTCTACGATAATTGTTTTCGTGTGAATCGCAATTGACTTTTAAAAATATCTTTCCTCTATTTTTATATGTGTGGGTGTTTTTTCAAGACAAGAACATGTTCCAAATTGAATTTTATTATGTGCTCTTTTTAGCTTAGAGCAAGAAATGAGATAGTAAAGAGGTACAAAAAGAGAATCTTTGAAACAAATGGGGGAAGAGTATTTAGTGTTTTCGATAAGACAACACAATTAAAAAAGGCGAAGACAAGATCGGTTTTCGAAAACTCCAGACATGTCCTCGGTCTTAAAAAGCCGAACAGAGGAATAAGTGGGTACAGGAGACATCATCAATTCATACCAACAAAATCTACCACAGAATAAAATTTTGAAATATCAAACAAAATTGGGGAGTGGATCAGAGGAGGAATATAACATGTAATAGAGAATGAATGGGGTGGAATGTGAGCAGCATGAGGTTGATATGTTAATCGCGACGTCTTTGGCGGTCTCGATCACTGCGTTCCCCACGATCACCACGATCAATACGCTCTCCACGGTCTCCACGCTCAGCACGTTCTCCACGGCTACGATCATGATCCTTCTCACGATCCGATTTGCCGGCCCGTTCCGTGACTTTTTCAGACTCCTTCATCTTTTTATTAGCTTTCTCAGCAACCTGAAAACCGTTTGCTTTGTGAAAAAATTCACGATCAATAAAAAGTTACCTGTTCCTCAGTTAAAGGCAAATAATAAATTGGTGGTTGTGCAAGCGTTTTTTTGAAGAGTTGATCCAACGATTTTTTGGGAACATCTTCCTCTGTCACTCGGCGAGGTTCATCTCTTCAAAATTATTCAATGTTTATTTCAAATTATGACATGTATTTTACCTGCGATATTCTCGTTCCTGACCGTCGAGCTTGGCTCTTTTTTCGTTCATGAATCCAGCACCACGAGAAAATGGAGGTGTTTCAGACCGATTCCTTTTTCTAACTTCCTTGGTCTTATCGGTGTCATCAATTCTGGTGAGACGAGAGGCAAGGCTTCCACGCTTTTCTTTTCGGTCAGCGTCGAGTTTGTCGTTGTCACGAAGGACATTTTGAATCTGATTGTGAGTAGCAAGTATGGGAACCCTAAATTTTACCCCTACTTACCGTAGTCTGAAGACTAGCTTTTCCACCTAGCAAAGATATTTGGGAACTGGTAGACATGCGATCACCTCGTCCTCCGATCTTTCCAGCCTCCACAATGCTTGATTCTTTTCCTTCCTTGTATTTTGTCATCTGCAAATCACGATCATTATCAAAAATACATTGTGAAAACAAACATTTTCCTCTGATTCGAACACAATAGCCAACTTCTTTGGATTTCCATCTGGCCAAACTGTGTCATGCATTGCGTTGCGAACGTTACCAGCATCTTCATTGGTTTTGAGCTGGAATATTTTTCTTTTAAACTCAATTACTAGAAAAACCGATTACCTTTGCAAAACAGTGACTTTTTACTTTGTCAATCCAGAAATCGGTGATTTCGCCTCCATGCTTTTCGATCTCGTTGCGCAATTGTCTCTCGGTGAATGGACGAGTCAAACCACGAATGTGAACGATGTTGGACACTGGATGTCTAGACCCAGAACAAGGATGATTAGAATCAAAGCAATAGAAAAAACATTCTTACCTAGACGAAGGAGAAGATACACGCCGGTGAGACACCGATTCGCGCACCTTTTCCTCCTTCTTGACACCTTCAGCGTTCTTCTCATGTTTCCCCTCGACCTGAATAGCTTTCGCTTCTTTCTCTTTTGCATCTTCTGAATCCATCGACTCATCGTCCTTCTGATCCTTTTCTTCATCGTCTCCATAATCCAACTCGTCTCCATCGTCATCCTTTGGAACTTTTTTCTCTGATGGAGCATTAATAACTAAAAGTTTTTGTTCATTGAAAAAGGATGGTTCGATTTCAAACCTTCTGGTTCCTGCGCCACCTCCTTCACTGTATCAGCAGACTGAGCAACCGGTTCAGTATCCTTCGTTGCACTGGAAACAAAATTTTTTAAACAAATTCTAGCGCAGCCCTTACCTAGTCTCCTGTGGGGTAACCTCAACCTCAGCAGTTTTGTCTTGTAGTTCAGTTTTTGGCACTTGTGGCTTCTCACTGACTTCGGCTTCATTTTCCAACTGCTGTCTGAAAGAAATAAATCCTTTTTTGCTTAGTGTATTTTTAAAACATACGCTTCTGTCGTCTTCAATGGTTCTGAAGACTGCGAAACAACAGTTTCCGTTACGTCGTCCACTTTTTCTTGTACAGAATCAGTTATTTGCTCGGGTTCTATCTCAACTTCCGGAGCCTCAACTGGTTCATTTTCTTGCTTGTTCCTTTGTCTGAAATGCAACTTATTAACAGTTTTCAAAAAATGTCCTTCAAAATCATACCCTCTCTTTGGAGTTTGTCTTTTGCTCGGAGATGTTTCAGATTTTTTCGACGGCGAGAGATTGTTCTAAAATAAATGTTTTTATTGAATATCTTAAAAATATTACCAAACCTGTGGAGTTTTTGTTCCAGGCGCTTCAGTTTCCGGCTCCAGTGACTTTGAATCGGTGGTAGAGCCACCCTCACTAGCTATTGCCTGTAAAACTTAACAGTTCATCGATATAATACTGTTCAAAAGTTTTTACCTCTCTGAGTTTCTCTTGAAGTACTGCTTTCACTCCTTTTATATAGATTTGTCGCTTTTCGAGTTCTTCTTTTAACTCAGTCACTTTGAGGGACGAAAGTGGTCGCCCGTCTATCATCACATCGTCCTCTGCCATTTCTAACGATGTTTTAGCTCCGAAACCTGAAAATTGTTTTTGAGAATTAGATTCAATTAATTTTGAAAACGTTTTTAAAAATGCGAAGAACACCATGACGAGAAATTGCACCGTTGCACGGAAGACGCAAGCAAGAGCGACACAAGAAATGCGTCAGTGTGCGCAGGCGACAACCTTCAGAGGCTCATTAGATGAAGTCGATGAAGTCGCATGTGAACACAATAAATAGAATTCTAACAGTGAGAAAATATTTCTTCACTAAAAACTCAATCTCAATTGTAAAATTCTGAAAGAAATGTAGAGAAAAAGCAAACATGGGAAGGGTTGTGTAAGACGGATAAAGTACCGTACACCTTAACTTTGAAACCCAAGAAACAAATCAAAAATGCGCCTTTGAAGCGTACGGTCTGATGCTAATCACGGGGTTTAAAAAAATATAAAAAGGATGTCCTCCTCCTCGTAAATGTCGCAGATGTCTACCTGATTTTTCCGCCACAGGAGTAAGCTGAAAAGTGTTTTCCTTGAAGAAGAAATCTCGCAAAAACAAAATTTGATTATAGATGGTTCGGACGCGAAGGGTATATTCAGGAGCAACATTACTTCGGGTGCTTTATCCTGTTGCTTTGTGTATGATTTTTGTTGCGATCAATGTTTCTATATGTCGTCCACCTATTACGAAAACACCCAAAGTGTAAGATTCCGATATGAGTTTGACGGCTTGACGGCTTGACGACACTTTTTTTCAGAATTTATGGCGTATTTCATTCGTACGACACAGAAGAGAGTGGACATGTTACACTATTGCTCATGATTTTTCTGGTTCTGACGACAACTATGGGCGTCGTTTGCTATAAAAAACGATTGTATAAGGTGACATAATTAAAATGTTGAAAACCCCATCTAATATTTTCAGGCAATAACAGCATACATCATTGCAAACAGTATCTCCCTTCTACTTGTCTATGCCTTCTTTCACTTTCACAACTTGGCACAAGCTTGTTCGATTCCCATGTCTGTACCTTCTTCAGTCTTTCTGACTTTCCAATTCGGCGGTTTAGGAGTTCTCAGTCTTCATTGGAAAGCTCATAGAAGGCTACACCAGTTCTACCTAGTGATGCTTGCAGCTTTAACAGCCTTATTTCTACTCAAAAATCTACCAGATTGGACTGTTTGGATATCCATTGTTGCCATTTCCATATGGGACATTGTCGCGGTTTTAACTCCATGTGGCCCATTAAAAATGCTTGTTGAGACTGCAAGTCGTAGAGGGGATAACAATTTTCCAGCCATTTTGTATAACTGTCAGTTGCTGTGTCAGATTGAACGACGAAATTCAAAATTTCAGCCAGCTCTTATGTGGAAACGCCGGAAACGCCGGATACAACACGCCCACACAGCACCCAACTAACAGAGTTTTCTAACTCATCAAACGCAAACTTACTGCAATCGGATTCATTATTAACAACTCCAGTAATACCCCGGCGAACGAGTAAGAATTAGCATTCAACCTAAATGATCAAATCTTTTTATTTTCAGGGGAAGTGCGAGAGGTGGAAGGGACCATTCGTCTCGGCATGGGTGATTTCGTTTTCTACTCCCTGATGCTGGGGAACGCCGCTCAGGTAAACCCAAGTGTTGTGAACATTTGCAATCATTTTACATGTTTCAGACGTCCCCTCTTACTACTGTATTGGCTTGCTTCTTGTCTAATCTCGTCGGATTGACGATTACTCTCCCGGTTGTGAGTCTGTCTCAAACGGCCCTACCCGCTCTACCATTTCCTTTGTTGATAGCAGCTTTGTTTTATTTCTCTTCACATGTCGCACTGACTCCATTCACTAATTTGTGCTCATTGACATTAATCTTGTTTTGACTGTGCTATAATTCTGGCTTTGCAAGACGGGTCTTCCATGATACAATGTTTTATACAAATAAAAAATCCTGAAAGTGTCAAAAGAAAAACGGGGAATGAAGCTGATAACAACTCGATTAAAAAAAACAGCAAAACGAAAAACCAGGATTAGTATTACAAGTGAATGCGAGAAAAAAGTTGTACTTTGTACATTAAAAGAGTAGTTAGTAATTGTCATTAATATTAGCTTTGCAAAACTTTTCTAATCGGACCCCGGTGAAGAACAGAAAGTGGTATTGGCAAATGTGATGCTTTTCTGAAAAAAAAACGAAACTAGATATCAGTTCATAAACGTTCTTACCTTAATATCGAAGGTTCCATCAAAATAATAGTAAGCCGCTTTATACTCGTCGAGCTTCATAACAAATACGGTTCGAATGAGGTCGCGAATGATCTTCTGGCAAAGAATATGCCCGTCTTTCTTAAATTCGGCTCTTGCTGACATGCTTGGGATCTTATCAGCAATAAACCATAGAGCTGAATCATGTCGGCCAGCTGCGAACTTGATGTTGGCTTCTGTTGTTTTTGACGTCTCCAAGTCTGGCATATTTGGAGACAACTGTAAATAGTGCTCGTATGATGAATTAATTTTCGAAAATACTCACCCAACCAACCGGGAAATAGTGAGAATGCTTGCCATCTAAAGCAAATCGGTCCATCATTGTTTCTCTCACATACTGGCACAACTTCTGAGTCGTCACTGGTGTACTGACACTCAACGGCAACAAATGAACATGTTTTCTGAAAATAAATATCTTCTCAACAGCTCTCAGAAGATGAAAATATTCACTTAATCATGCTCAGCGTTATTGGACGGCAGAGAACTTCGCAGATTCGATTGATGTAACCCTCTTTTACAGCTACAGTCTTTATTCTGTACAGGTGTTCTTCAAAGCGACTGTTCTCTATGTGAATTCTTGGCTGCCAGTAGCGCTTTTCGTCAGCAATTTTATATGAACGACTCATGCTTCGGAGATGAGGTAGGGATTTCAGATCATGAGAAGTGGGTTCGGTGTTAAATTCTTTGAACACTGTCGGTTTTTGAACCGATACTCTTTTGTTTTGAAAAGAAAAGGAAAACGATTTACGGGGAGTTTTGTTCATTTGATTGCTGTCCACAACTTTGAAAATTGGATATCTGTTGTTTGGTACAGTATCGGGAATCGGTTCTGGAGAATGTTCCATGGAAGAGGTATAACTTTTTTCAGACGGAACATGATAGTCTGGTGATATATTTGTAGAGGTACTCGAATCGGTTGAAGCACTGCTGCACACCGACGCTATCAACGAATTTCCTTCGAGCGCTTGATTTAATTTCGATGAAAACGAGGCTTCTCCGAAAGGGAACAAACTGGCTAAATCTTGGGTTCTATTACTTTTTGACATTTCTGCATTTTCCGAAAACTGAGATTTGAGAACAAGTGGTGATGAACACATAGGCAAATCAACATATAAGCTTTCCGAAATATCTTCCTCGTCTGAGGATATTGTGACTACCTCGGGTTCTTTTATAGGATCAGTTGAAGTATTCGGGATATCTCCAAGCAACGAAAGAGCAACGATATTTGGGCGTAATGCTTCGGACTGCTCAAAGCTTGCACGGTCGGAAGCACCCGTTGAAGACCTTTTAGGTATTTTGACATCCATGGATGTTTCACAGCTCGATTTGATTTGAATGTTTTCAATATCGACGTTCGATTCCTCCACTCGCTTCTTCTTCTTTTCGCCCACTAGATTGTCTTTATCGTGTTATCTCTTTTTTACTTCTTTATTAATTTCTTCTTCCTTTTTTTGTTTGCTTTGAATGGAAATCAACATCTCTTGTTCCTGGGGATTTTCCGCCAAAATATCCCATTCAATCGACCAGTTATAGAATAACCTGGAATCGTTTAATTAACATTTTAATAATAAAATACAAACTTAATGGTGGCTTCCAAAATTCTCTTATAAAAGCGAAACGAGTTGTGGAAGGACGAGCTTTCGTTGTCAGGCTCGATCACATTGGGCAGATAACGGCTTATAAGGGAATCCTTAGTTTCTCGAAGAATAACTGAAAGAAAATGATTAGGTACTGACACATAACTTTTCTGCGCACTTGGTAATTGGCGTAATCTCAATTTGACAATGACAGTGTGTTTCTTTTCCGGTGCATCCTTTGAAAAATGTGCGCGAGTGCAACAATTCTTAGAAAGAAACTGAAATATGTGTTCATGGATTCAGCTTTCATGAATTTTGTCTTACCCATTCTAATGGAAAGAATCTGCCGTCAAATAGGCAGAGCGACTTTGTTCTCTTAAAAAGATCTTCACCTATATACTCGTGCTGCTCTCTGAGTCGATATTCTTTTGTCCTATTTTCATATCTGAAATTTATTGGGAATAAATTTAGGATTGAATCGAAAAATCTATGAGAAAACTTTTGAACTACCATACCATTGGAAGATCATACCTATCATAAATCAAATCCAATTCATCGCGAACTCTTTCCAGCAGTTGAGCGGCGACTTCTTCGTTTGGTGCTTCTTTCCCGAAAACTTCAAACCATATATTTGTGAAAGCCGGGTCCCAAATCTGAAACCCAGACCATATTAGACAAATATTACCTTAAAACAGTGAATACCTTTGCGAAATATGGACACGCAGGACGTAATGGAGCAGAGTGTGAAAGAGAAATCTGATGGTCCATATAATTTTCTAAATGAATCGATTGGGTATGAGTTTTGAGCTGTCAAAGAAAAGGAAAGAAAGTCTCGGTGTAGAAGGGTAAAACAACGATTAAGATGAGAACAAGATATTTATATTGACTTTTTTGATTTTGGAGGATAATATTCATGAGATCCAGAATCACACATTAGGAGTTCAGTCTGATCATACCAAAAAAAATAATAGAAACACACAAATATCATAGAGAAAGACAACAAGGAGAGTTAAAAAATATATGAGTAGTAAAATCAACAAGTCAGTGGAATTGAGATATTTCTAATCAGCACTAAACTCAGTAATCCTCCAAATCGAGCTCTCCGAGATATATAGTCTTGTCGCTTCCAGCGGAGAGTACTGAAAAAAAAGTTGCAAAAAAGGCGTTGCGTCTTGCGAGGCTCCGCCCACTTTCCCGGGAATTTTTCTCTCGGAAATTACGGAACCTCTGTTTTTTGTTCGTTATAAAAATGTTCTCGAACACAAATATGCCATAGTGAACTTTGACTACGATAAAGTTAGCGTTAGTCTCGGCGCAAAAGATTCAAATTGAACTGGTGACTCAGCGGTGTCTGCGTTCCATCAGAAGGGGGCGCGGCCCGCTGCGCGGGGAAGAATTATTTGAAAAATGAACCAGCCAAACCCCATGATGAACCCTTTCACTAAAACATATTCTTATCATTTTGGTCTGGAAAAAAAGTTGGAGAGAAGTGTATGCCGAAGTGTATAAGCGAATATCTCGAAGCGATAAACAAAAGAATACATATAAAATGGAAGGGCATGCATATTTTCTCTGCGTCTCTACCTTCTTGTTTTGACAACAGCAATAGAGCAAGCACATGATACTGTTCAAAAACAATGCCAGAGCTATAGATGACGAACGCAGATAATTAGAAATCGAGAGATGTGAATTGACCCCAAGAGATTGCTCATCATGTAATGAGTCACTACTAATGACAATGACATTTAAGATACTGGAGACGGAAACCCTCCCCAATTAAGACCCTGGAAATTTAGTTGTAGTTAAAATTAGCTGTAGATGGATAGATTTATCCCTTCGCCGAAACGAATTTTTGACCTATCATCAATATCGTAGTTGAGATTATCCCACAGAATATACCAGGCGACTAAAAATCGAACCACTTCTGTTATGTTGTCCCTCTAGTCCGAAATCAAAACTCGTGCTTATGAAGTTCAATCAATATATTGGAGACGGCGTGGTGCTCGAAGCTAGGAAAAAAAAATTGTTTTCGGCTATGGACGATGAAACGAACTATAGGAAGAAGGCTGTCAAAATATATTGGCAAGGTCATTCCGTCATGAGACATGCTTTGTAAACCGAAATTTCTGAAAGAAATGGGTTGCAGATCTGAACAGTCGATAACATTTGGGTGAAAGAATTCTTTTTTTGAGAAATTGAAAAATTTAGGAACCAAAAAAAGTGCATCAACACTATTCTTGGCTGAAGAATAATGATTACTCTTTGAATGATGTGGTGAGGGAAAGCGTATGCTAATGAGGGGACATCGGGGGACGAGCAGGTGTCCATAGTGAATTGCGCAATAGATGGAGAGACGAATTCGCGCTAAATGAAAGGGCAATATGGGCACATTGTATTCTAACTTACAATGCTAGTTAATATGTATAATGAGTATAAACACAATATGTTCCATTATTTTTGAGAAGTGCTTCGAAAAAATGAGAATCGTAACGATATCAATTCTTTGCAGAACTGAAATATCTCCGAATGATAATAATTTTTGATATGAAGATTTTGATGATGTTTTGCCAGTTGATCATTTTTTATATCTTTCACGCCGAAAGGAAAACAAAGTTGGCTCAGTGGACTTCCAAAACTATCAAAATGCAACATATGGATTCTATCGACAATAGACATGATGACAATAAATCCAGGCGATACATATTGTGATCTATTGAACCAACTTATTGACGCTCGCACAGCAGTTCATCATTAGGCTCATTACATGAGCCCTGAACTTTAGATAACCCTACTATTAGGTTGTTCGGAAAGTTCCTGTCATTTTTGATAGGCTGATTTCAAACTTTGTATTTTTGAACAGCGTTCAAGCCAGGGAGCTGTCGTTAGATCTGTATATTAGTGAGGTCTAATAGTGTCCACACCCCAACGGAGACCATTCTCCTCCTCCCGTGTAGTGAGATATGACCACTGTTTTCATCCATAACAATTTACATTTTTGGACAGTTATTTCATTTATATTACTATCTGACCTGAAAATTGCTGAAATCAATCTCTAGTTAGTAAAGGTTAACAAGCAAGATGTACCCTTCCGAACTATTATCACATACTTGCTTCATTAATTTGAAAAAGGAGAATTCTCGTTTAATGAAAATCCCCTTTCAAAAAGGCAAGGGGTCTTAAATTTAGATGCACTAAAAACCAGGATTGAAAGGGGCCCGTCTCTAACTGTGCTGGATATATCAAGTACATCTGTGGCAAGCCTTTCGTAAAAAGCCATGAATTGGAAACTATCAGCAAAGTCAAAAAAGTGGGAAGATATGGACCACACCTTTTGCCTCAACGCAACTTGGATACAAGAGTGGGGGGATGTTTGAATTGTTTCATCCTGCATTGCGCACACGAATGGTGGAGTCAAATCATTACTAGTGATGATAAATGGGTAATGCATGATTACAATGAACGACAAACCCAGTGGGTTGACAAAGCGCCCAAACACTAGACGTCCCGAAACATGAAATTCGTGATAAAAGTGGGATGTTGCCGGTAAAGTGCTGTTTTCTATCAATTACAGCAGATCGATCTCTTGAACTTACAAATAGCCTGAGTTGGATGGAGATCAGTGCAGTTGACAGATCCCAGATGACCTGGAAGTTTGTAGACACACGCACGAGATTTGACATCCCAAACAAAAGCAAAACGGTTGGCAGAACCGGATGTGATGTAGGTGTCACTGGGAGACCATCCGCATTTCAGAAGATTCTGAAACTCGAATGAACTATCAATTTTCTTTATATTGAACAAAACCTTTTCAAAATTGTGAACGACTCCGTGGTAATTAGCCAATAGTCTTTGCGAGGTACAAATGGACGAATGTCCCATGTCATCACTGAAAATGTTTTCTTTAGAATATCTCAATCGCAGATGAAACATACATGAGCAGTCCATTGAGTTCGATAGTAAGAAGTTTCCGTTGTGACTGACAGAGAGCGAAGTGATCGTATCCCGATGTCCAGAAAGAACGTAATTGATGTCGTTGCGTCGCATGTCCCACACCTGAATCAAATAGTTGTGTTGTTCATAGTCTCGGAAAAACACTCACATTGATTTGATTAGCGATTCCTCCGCAGATCACGGCATCAGATGCATCGTTAAATGTGACTGCAGTTTGTTGGTATTTGTCTTGGTAGCACTTCACAGCTTCTTTACTGCGGAAATCGTGAACCTGAATTTCTTTAGTTCAATTTACTCGTTCTCAAGAAGTTACCATTGCTGTTCCATCGTCAGATGCGGAACATATTATCTCTGGACCTCTGCGATTCATACTAATTGCGTTGACAATATCAGTATGTGACTTGAAGTTTCTGATGCATGCACCAGTTTCCATATCCCAAACGCGTACTGATTTATCAGTTCCACAAGAAGCCAGATGACTGAAAAAGGTAATATAAAATGGATTACAATATTTTCTCTAATAGAAACCCGTCCAATTTGAGCTCAAGTATCTCAGTTCCTTCAAACGATTAAAAAAAACTGTTCAACTGATAACTTATTTATCATAATATTACCAGTATTTTTTGAGTTGACCGTTTTTTCGTATCTCTCATAGGAATCGAAATGATTCAGTTCAAATTGCATGTATAGGGTGGGATTCTTACTGACCTTGAATCAGAGTTGAATTGAAGATCCATAACAGCTCCACGGTGTCCTTTCAACACTGCAAAGTTATCGCACTCTCCGAACACATTCCACAGAAAGATCTGAAAAAATAAATCAAACACGGATGTAAAGTTTTTGGAAACCTGCTGATCATAGCCAGCACTAGCAAGAAAATCCCCATTTGTACTGAATCGCGATGTATAAATTTCTCCACCGTGTCCTTGAAGAAAAATGGTTGGGGCCTGAAAAAAAGAAGGATATATTCTAAGATAGAACAGAAGCAAAATCATGCCATCAAATTCGTTGTTCTGTTTGTCTGCTCCGCGTTTCCTTGCACTACCAGTGATTGATTATAGGCGGAAATCATCTGATAAATGAGAATATTTTTAATTTGGAAGCATTTAGTTTTGATATACTGCGCAGTGGAAAAAAAACACTGAAAATAAATAAAATTGAATATATCAGCTGATTGATGAGAAATCAAAGAGAACATATTCATTTAAACAGTGCTTAGGTATACGGTATTTAGGTTTGGATACATTAGAATTTGATGTAGGGATTTATGCAAGCTCGGTGGGAGAAGTTACGAGTTTCTTGTTTTCGATTCGCGTCACGAATTGTTCAGGTAGTGCCATTTCTTTGTACTCTTCGCTGGCATCATCCAGTTGTGCTGATACATTCATTTCACTTGACTTCGACGAAACGATTTGAGTATCGCTAGCAGCACGTGAAAGATAAACATGACACCCATCAGTCTTTTGAATAGAAATAATCGGGAGCTCTCCGAGAGTTTGAACTTGAATCGACTTGGAATTGATGACTTCGCATTGTCCCAGAAGGCCATCGAAGACAACAGAAGTTTTAGAGCATCCGTCCAAAGTGATCGTATTGGCTTTCCCTTTGATCTTGAAATAAATCGAATTACTATCATTGTTCACAATTTTTAGCATTTAAAAAATAGTGTTTTTGGGATGCCACTGTATTAAGGGGAGGCAAACACTAATGGCCTGTGCGGCAACAAATCTTTCACAATTCTCATAATATGTGTTCAGATCTTTTTCCCTCTCTGTTGTAAGAGACTTTGTAGCTTGAGAAAAATTTTTTTATAGTTTTTTAATTGTTGAGAGCACGAACGTTCTACCAGAGAGTGGCATTCAATTGGGAGGGGCCATATTTATATTGGAGGATTTACAATGATTCCTTACCATGATGACTGAATCGGTACACTTGTAGATATAAATTGCTTCTTTCTTATCTTTCACTTCTACGACGACATCACGATTCTCGACTTGATGTTCGATTTTCCAAACCTTCCCGTCCCACAAAATTTTAGGAGAACTCTTCACTGGCTCCGATTGAGAAACGGATTTTCCAGTTTTTCCATTCGTTGAAGAAATCTTGTCTCCTCGAAGAGATGGATTTTTGTGGGTTTGCATATCAGGCGTGACTTTCTTCAGGCGGCTTGTGGCAGAAAGACCAGTGTTGAGAGAATCCAGTAGTGCAGCCACTCCTGAATCTTTAGCACCAGCCGAGTTGGAACTGAGAGATGGTGGTGGAGGTGGAGGCGGAATCGATGGTGAACCTGCTGAGCTGACCAGAGATGTTTCTTTGGTCGGTTTTGTACCAGGTTGCGAATTCCAGATCAATCCTGTGGTGTGGTGTCTGCGAATGTATGAATGGAGTTTCGTCAGCAGTTCTTTCAATGTTTTGGCCCATTCGAAATGCTCGTTTTTGGAAGTTTTATGAGCCATGAGAATGCGGTTGATGTAGAAGAGAGAAGTTTCGACAGCTTCATTAAAGTATGGAACAGGAGTTTTCGGTTGTACGACCCATCCGAGACCTGCAAAATTCAACTTGAAAAAACATATTAGCCCAATACAAGGATTGCCTGTTCGTTCTGCGAAAACTGAAACCCATATTCATTTTTCACAGTAAATTTAAAAGGTAGAGATACTCGAAATACTGTTGTGATCTCTACAGTGCAAAATGAATTTTTGCCGTTGAAAGAAATTGGTTGAATAAGCACATCTTGTTGATATCGGATGAGAACTCGTACAAATGAGATGAGTTCAAACCTAAAAAATCACACTCACCTCCAATAGCAGCTTCGACAGCGCAGATGTGATCATAAAACGGCGAGGTTCTATGATTGTCTTTGAATTCGGTCGTGGAACATATTTTTTTCGACAAACTCTCGATCAGTTTTGTGATTCCCACATCGTTCGGCCGAGAAAGACCACACGCAGTCCACACGAAGTTTCTGTGCTCGGTAAGTGCGTCTTTGATCTGAAACTTTTGATTTCATAGAACCCATGACATTGTTATAAACCAGGTTTTTGAGCAGATTGACATCACCTCCGATTTTAGTCGACAACGCACAAAGCTGTTCAATCTTATCCTCTGTCGCTTCGTCCAGAAGCTCGATACTTTTCGGAACCGACATTTTGGGTGAAGGAGCACTTGGACTATCTGTCTTGTCTGAAAACCATCGACGTTCGAAAAAAATTGAGTACGTTCACCAGTTTTTGAGCCATCGCACTTGAGAAGAACGTTTTCCATACGAGTTACAATGTTTTCAAGACGAGTCACAAGAATTTTTTCCATCTGAAAAGACGGAATTCGGCACTAAGCTTTTACACATGAAGCTATTCGTCAGAAATAATGACACAGCTGGAACCATAAGGTAAGGTGAAAAGGCAACAAAGATAATTGAAATCAAGTTTATTTCAACTTTGTAAAACGATAGGAGGAATGCACTTTAAAACATTGGACAACAGGTTTATATGTGTTGGATCTTGCTTAGGCGTTGAAGCGGGTTTCGAACAGTCCCTTGTTTTCGTATCCGTATTCTTTGTTGGTGGCCGCAATATCCATAACATTGTTGGTGTAGATTGGTCTGAAAATTGAAAAGCGATTAACAGTACGAATATTATACATCTGGTTCACAGATCAGATACATGGCAATTTATGGATATATAAAAGAAAACTGTCACTTTTTTGCAGATCAGTGAATCTTACCCCATGTTGGATGCAAGGACCATTGCTCCACGTTGGCTATAGCGTCCGGCAATGTAGAGTGGTACTGGCAATCCCACAGGGTGGAACACGATTTGATGGTCATAAGAAAGATCGTTGGTCAGTTGTTCGTACATGTACAATGATTCTTTCGGGTTTGTCGTAAAGATCACGGTGAATTTTGTAGCTTTCGCCGTTCCTTGACGAGCTACAGCTGAAGCGTGATACCACTCGCTGTACACTGGACTGACAATGTGGTGGTCGACGACGGTTCCAGGCTCGAGGTTGACAATACGACCCTAAACCTTTATATTTATATTTGGAAGTCAAGAAACACAAAAACCTTATCAGACTTGTACAGACGCTCGTTGTGAGTCTTGGAAGATGCGATGATGGTGAAATGTGGTCTGTACGTATCACTTATGGCCTTGCAAGCATTCTTCACTTGTTGTTGGTATTCTTCGTTCAGCTGAAAATTCAAATGTGTATCTTATTTCGAAGTAGTCGGAACCATAGCAAATTGTCCTTCGGACACTCCGTTGAAGTACAGAAGGATTTCTTTCGGCGTAGCGCGATTCTTTTTTGTGGTTTGCAGAATTTTGATCAACGTATCTTTGATAATCGGTCCGAAAACCTAAACATTGACTAAACATTGATATTCATTCTAACATACGTCATTGGATCTTTTGACGTAGACGTATCCACCGGCAAACTTCTGATGATGATCCAGCATATTCGCAGCGTAACCAACTGAGATTGGGTACTGGAAACAGTTGTTTAATTTTTTAGTCTTCTTGGATACGAGTACTTACATCAGGATTACCACCTGAGCGTTGTGAGGTTTCGAATCCAACAATGAGATAATCCGGACGACGGAAAGTCTCACTGCCAATCTGATAATTCAGTCCTCCCAACTTCATATTAGTTTTGTTCACGATATTGAGGCGTGTTTGTGGCTGGCGGAATACTTTCTCAGCCGTTTCTGCGCGAACTTCTTGAGTAAGCAAGTCGTACTTTTGCTCCAAACATTTGATGTTCTGATGATAGTTATAGCGACTTTTGACAACGAAGAAAAGCAATTGTCGCTTAGCAACCTTTGCTCTTTTGAAAACAGCTTCAAGATCGTTACGGACAATGTAACTAATGACTGGGTTTGTCGCCTTCATTCCGTTTTTACGCATCTCGGTCACAAATTGTTCGGCCAAACCCCTATAATTAGAGTTTCCCATAATGCCACTTGGATAAAATAACTTACTTCACTTCCTCGTTCTCGACAAAAACGAGTTCCCAATTGGAAAGCTCTTTTGCGATAAAGTAATTACCGGCGATGTTGAAGTCTGTTGGGAATCTCGATTTTGGATCGTCCAAGTTAGCCAACTTGTTCCCCGCGAAGATGATTTTAGGTTTGTCGAGGACGATACCCTCCACCTGGAGAGGTTCTTCAACTTTGATGAAGCCATAGATATTGTTTGATGCCAATCCGACATTTTTAACAACAGTCTCGGTAGTGGATTTTCGGATATGCGGCTGTGCAGCAGACATCTTAATGCGACATGAAGTATTCTAGATATGTTACTAGCCTAGCGCTAGATAAGATAGATCTCACCTTGATCATATCAGCTTGCTCGTTATTGATCATTTGATCATTAGTGACAGTCTGATTGGGGCATAACACAAGAAGTTCCACAGGGAAATTGATCCTTCCAACCTTCCCTTTTGCCTCAACCGTGAACAAGTGAGGAAACTTGAGAGTGATTCCGTATTTCTCCTTGTAGTATGTGACCAAGTTTACTTCGCAATCATTCCATTTGAAGGTGGTCTGAACAGACGATGTAGAGAACTTTCTGATTTTCGAAACTAGTCCATCCTCGCCAAGTCCAGCATATGGTCCGTAGTTTAAAGAAACGTCTAAACCGACGAAAGCCTTCTCAATACGCTGGGCAACAGGAGTGTTGTAAGCCAAATTCGCGGCAAAACCACGGTAGGACTTAAGAACATCAACCAGAGATACATTATCCGGATGGAAAAGAGTTGTTTTCACTGAAAACAAACGTAGTTTTTCCATTTTGAATAGAAACGAAGATCTAAGAGTAGCGGGTTGAGAATCATGATTTTAAAAAGTGTAGCAACTTAAAATCCGCGCACTGCCTCAGATTCTCTCCGTTGTGACCCCAATTCGTATAACTTACTCTCCGGTGTCATGAAAAGGCCTGGGGCAAGTCGATTTGCTCCTTCCAAAGTCTTGACAGACTTGGAAGCACCAACAGCTGAGTAGAGGCCTCCTTCTTGATAGTCCTTGTTTGCAACGCTGAACATCACAAATTAGATATCATTACTGAATTCAGCTTACTCAATTCCGCTGGTGTCGATAAGATAATGAACACATGCCCCGACCGTGATAACGTTTTTGCTGTAAAAATGAAGCTGAATTCAAAACTACGAAATTTTCCCACTCACTTATCGAAAGCTGGTCCCGAAACAATGATGTTCAGTGCCTCGAGAAGGGTTCGATCAGCTTTGCCAGGACATGGATTTACGGTCTTCTTGATGTCGTTAGATGTTGACTGAAAGGAGTCGTCAACTTTCTTGAGGATAAATTGAGCCTTCTTGAAGTTTGGCCGCTTGCAAATGCCTTTGTCAACATCGAAGGAAATGTTCTGAAAAAGATGTTGGTTAGAGCTCTAGGAATTGCAGTAACCTCAGTTTTCAATTTGGTCAAGCTATATAATGATGCTTGGCGGTCATAGAAAAATGGTCCTCCAGTTCTCAATGCTTCGTAACGAGTCACTGCTTCCTTGTAGACTTTTTGGCACCTTGCCTTGTCGTTATCATGCTCCGTTCCTTTTCTCGTCGATTTCGACATTTCAATAGTGCATTCAGTTCCGTCTTCCTTGACAAACACGTAGTTGACTTGGACCGCATATTTATAAATGGGTTGATTGGCAGCGATTGCTTAAAATGTAGGTGTATATAGATAATAAAAATAACAATATGAAACACACTCAGTTTACGGACGTTCGTCGCAACCATCACTTTACGTCCTTTGCTGGCGTTTTTTTCTTTCTTTGCCGCAAGAGGGACCATTCCGAGCTTTGCCGGTGCAGACGGCTTCGTACCCTCCGAGAGAGCCAAATTCGCCATATCTTTCTCCATTTTATAAACAATAGCAGCCCTGAAAAAATATACTAAATTGAAGTCGCGATATACAAAGTGTTCAAGATATGGAAAACTTTTGATTCAGTAGAGAAAACCCAGAGAACAACAATAAGGCAAGCCAGCGCGATATAAGATCATTCAAAATTTCAGTTACCCGCTTTGTTATGTAAATCAATTCGAAAAAAAATGGTAATTTTTCAGTTTCTTTGAAAAATCGACTAAATCTTCGGTTGAGGTTCGCTCCCGTTATTAATTAGCGATTTTCGATTTTTCTGAATGTGAGAAACCACTATGGGACTAATTGCAACGCGGCACATGTTTGCTAAAAACTGTTGAACTGATTTCAAAAAGAAGGCGGGTCACTTTCTCCCGTTTCCGCACTAGGGTTGCACACAAAAGACATTACTCATTCGCCGGTGATAGTATACGAGCAAGGTCATGCGATTTTTAAAATTCAAGATTCTTAACATTCAATTTTGACAAAAGGAATAGAAGAAATGCCGCATCATTCATCCAGTAAATTTTCAAAGTGTCAAAGCATCCAGAAACACACTGCTTCAAGCGATTGAAAGCGCGCGCTTTGCTCATACGCGGCAAAACAAAAAAAACAGTACTTAGCTGAATCGTGGTGGGACCTGTCTGAATAAGTCTAGCGCCCTTTAAGATGAATAAATCTCGTCCTTCTCGTTTTTTAAAAAAGATTTCGGGGGTACGACGAATTCGAACTTTTTCAAATCGAACAGACCTAAAATCGAACAGATTCAATTCAGAACAGTCCTTTTTTCGCACACGTGCCAGAACAGAACGTGGACAGAATCGAACTGTTACAAGTTCGAACTGGTAAGGAGTCGAACTGTCCCAAATTGGAACGCTGTTTTGTGTGTGCTTTCATGCGCGCTCTGT